CCATATCTCCTAGGCCATTGCTTAAGGGGTAAACTTTGCCTTTCAGACCGCTGGATTTGTCATCCTATAACAGTGTCACGTTAGTGGAAATGGTTTGTGACATGGCAGGGGTTGTCTTTGTGATGGTTATCATTCGTTTGGACCTATTAATGCCTAGATATCTGGCACACAGGAAGGCAATGCCTCTTAGGTTACGTAACTGTGCCTCTAACTTTTCACAAGCAAACTAAGACATCTCATTGGTCAATTCCTGGATTTACATAATCAAATTAGAAGAAATCTACCAAGAGGCATTCATAACTCAAGATTTGCTTCCTTTCCTTACTCCTGGTCAAGAGTAAATGCAAATGAGAATATGATCAGAAACCTCCTACAGAATCCATTGCTATCACAATGGCTGTCCAACAAAGATCCTTGGATTCTCTGACCTAAGTTGTTCTTGATATGATTATCTTTTAGCTGAGCAAAGTGGTGTCTGTGCTATAGCCAACACCACATGCTGCACCTAAATTAACACTTCTGGGGGAAGTTGAAACTCAATTACATAAGATCAAACAAGCCACTTGCCTTAAAAAATGGCTCATTTCATGGGGCCTTTCTTTGACTTATTTGAGTTTTATTGGTTTGGGTCTTGGGAAACAGGTTTCCAGAGTGTACCCAAAATGTTGGAAATTATCCTGCTTACAATAATTAAAATAATATTGCTGGTGTGCTAGATTGTCTCAAAAGCTTTAAATGATGCTCACAGGTGCCACAAACAGATGATCCCCTAGAGAATGAAACATCAAAAAAGGAATGAAAAGGACCACTGACTCAAAAATTATGGACATAAAGTTGTAACTTGTGAATATCACAGAGATTAAACAAAAATGCCATGACCTGTGAATACCACCAACGGATCAACAAAAGCTGCAAGGACTACAGAACAGTAGCTGAGAGTGGTTCTAATGCCTTAAATTTTGATTATATCTCTCAGTTAAACTGAGTCATATCAAAAGGGAGAATTGTCAAAAAGAAAAAACACAAACACATAAAGGAGTCACTTCTGATAAGGCCCCATGTTAGTAAATCAAGATTTAATATCTAACCTAACTGCAGTTTCAACCCCCTCAGGAATGTAACCTTAAACTAGTCAAACTGGAATTTCCTGGAGACAATACCCTGGGAGACTCTTCCCTCTTAAGGACTGACCTTAAACAATGCACTCCTTGCTAATAATTTTTTTAATGCCCTCTCTCTCTACCTTAAAAATCTTTCCCTTTCTGCAGCTCAGTGAAACTCCCCTCTACTTGCTAGATGGGATGCTACCCACTTCATGAATCACATAATAAAGCCAATTATATCCTTGAATATAATTGGTTGAAAAATTTTTAACAAGTGAGTATGGCTTGCAGGTGTGTGTGTGTGTGTGTTTGTGTTTAATTTAAGCTAGTTGTCAATATGTAAAAATCAGATATCCCATAAACTCCCAATCTCCAGCACACAGGGCCAGGATTCCAATGTGGACACAGTCTTCAGAGTTCCATAACTGTACACTGCCCTTGCGACACTGAAGTTGTTAAGTCTAATAGAATATATGACTCCTACCTCAGAGTGTGTGGTTGGAATTCAAAAATCCTATCTAAAAGGATAAAACTTGGGGCGCCTGGGTGGCTCAGTTGGTTAAGCAGCCGACTTCGGCTCAGGTCATGATCTCACAGTTCATGAGTTAGAGCCCCGCATCGGGCTCTGTGCTGACAGCTCAGAGCCTGGAGCCTGTTTCCGATTCTGTGTCTCCCTCTCTCTGACCCTCCCCTGTTCATGCTCTGTCTCTCCCTGTCTCAAAAACAAAACGTTAAAAAAAATTTTTTTTAATAAAAAATAAATAAATAAATATAAAAGAATAAAACTCTAATAGGACCAATGCAAGAAAACTCTGTGCAGGAAACTGTTTTGGAGCAAGTGGGTATTTGACACTGCTGTCAGTCCCCAGGAACTACCCCCTACTCAGCTGTCTTCCTGTAGCAACATTTCCCACCCTGGGCTCCCTAGGCACCTCCTGTCCTCAGGTTTCCAGGACCTCTAGGCATATGTGAACAAGCACCCCCTCATTACTGTAGGCCATCTTCCTGGAGCTAGCAGTGTCCCACATTGCACTCTTGATGTGAAAAAGAGAAAGTAATTTGAGTTGGAATGCTCATGGCCCTGTGCCAGGTGAATACTCAGAGCCTCGGTGAGAGTCAGATCTCCCAGGTGTCTCTCATCAGTGAACTTACCAAGCCCAGGATGGCAAGGCTCAGGGGTTCCTGTGAGATCTGGCTTCAGGGGAACAGGAAAATTTGGGGGGAGGGATGGAATTTGGCACCCTGTGAATCCCTGGGAAGTGTCCCCAAATCTCTGCTCAATTCCCACAAGTCCCAGACCTGAGACCCATGTCAGGCTGTCTGAATGCTGAGTCACAGTGACTCACACATGCACATTTTCTCCCACACACCTGCCCACAGGCAGCAAGCCCTCTTAGTCTGTTGGATGTTCTGGTCCACCCAGCAATCCCCCTGGAGCAGCATTTCTCTACACTGCTGCACTGAAAAGGAGGTTTAAATAAATGATGATTACTGTTGTGTATTGGTTTGATATCATTTCAAGTCAATTTGTTTATGACTTAAGTGAATTTGCTTTAATCCAATTGTTTATAACAAAGACAAAAAAAGAGAATTGTTTTGATTTAAGAATGAAGTAAATTGTGTCAGAATGTCATCAATCTCACCTGTTCTCACCAAAAAGAGCTCAGTAGCTCAGCTGCTGAGTGTCTCTGCCATGACTTATAATATACATGTGTATATATATATATAAATATATATATAAATATATATATAAATATATATATATATATATATGAAGAAGCAATCATGGTAAGGGGAGATTTAGACTATACTGAGAATTGTAGGACTATCCTACTGTGCAGGTCTGGGCAAGGTGATTCTTTTGTGATCCAAAATAGTTCTCCAAAGACCTTGGAGCATTAGCTCCTGCCATAGTAAAGGTGACTTTTTTTATGGTAAGTGGCAAACCATGCAGCAGCTCTGTATCACCTTGCCTGTCAGCCCTGGTACCATCATTCACTAGCAACGTGCTCTAGCAACAAGGAACTTTTACTTTTGTGCTGGCAACTGGTGGTCAGCTCTATGTGGCTAAGCCATCTCTCAAAATGACTATAAAGGTACACCTCAACTAAATTTGGGCTTTATTCCTTTCATTCTACCTTGCCTGGAACAATAGTGTGATTAAAATATCATTGATTTGAAGTATGTTATTTCTTTGTTGGCCTATTAGGGGACATTATCCTGTATGTTATGGCTTGTGAAATTCCCACAACAAACCTGTGTTAATAAATTGCTGGCAAAGACAACTCAGTCTCTGAGCATTAACGTGCTTCCCAAAACAGAACATTGTTTCAGGCATAGTCAGAAACCCAACCCAAAGTAACAATCATTAAAACTGGTTGCTGCTGTGGGATATATCATACTTCATGCCAAATTTGACATACAGGTTAATAAATTATGTTAAATTTATAACTAACCAAAATGTTATAAAGTCCATTACTAGAATGAGAAACTTAAACTTAATATACTACTAGATATTTATGGCAACCTCCTGACATTATAAACAGCTTGTGAATGGACCATTGATAGAGCTGTTATAGTTTGGATGCTAACATTGGCCACAGTAATTATCTTAATAATGCTTTGCCATATTATAAGCCAGTTGGAATGCTCTATTAAGCATCCTTATAATAAAACATATTTTTGAGGCTCTTGGGTGGCTCAGTTGGCTAAGCATCTGACTTCAGCTCACATCATGATCTCAAGGTTCATGGGTTTGAGCCCTGTGACAAGCTCTTTGCTGACAGCTTACAGCCTGGAGCCTACTTCGGATTCTGTGTCTCCCTCTGTCTCTGTCCATCCCCCGCTTGCACTCTGTCTCTTTCTGTCTCAAAAATAAATATAAACATTATAATAAATAAATAAACATTTAAAATTTGTTTAATAAAATAAAATAAATAAATAAAACATTTTTAACACTGTTGTGAAAGGCAAGAGAACAATAGCAAACATGCCTCACTCACTTAACTGAATCAAAATTACTGAAGAGGTGATTTAGGGTAGAAATATTATATATTAACTTCTGAGGAAACCTGGAGACATATCTAAGATTTAGTTTGGACAAAACTTAAAATTAAAGAAACTCCAGATGTTGGCCTGATCACTCAACCCAATGAGTTATATTCCATATTAAAAAGAAAAAAAAAATATGTAGTAAATTCCAGAGCTCTTATTAGGAACATTAAGTAACATAGATGCCAAAAGGCAGGAAGGAAAAGTGCTAGCACAAAAAATAATCTCCAAAGTGGACAAAACCCAGACCCTTTTGCTCATAAGGACACCATTTCACACCCTGAAGATGATTATTTTAATCTTTTTGACCCTGGTAATTTTAATCTACTAGAAGCTAGGTTCATGAAAATAGGCAAAACTACAGCAAATGATAATATGAAACCACTCAGAGTTACTAAAGAAAGAGCTTGTACTATACAAGAAATGACAAAAATTAGAATGGAATTTCAACAAATTTATTTCAACATAGAAACCCAGTGGCTATTACATTTATGGTCCAGAGGAGGACATACTTGACCTTCACAGGAGCAGAGGTTGTGCAACATGGACCCATTACTACTGATGCCAAATTTTATCAGCACCTTAGAACAATTGGAGAAAATCTTAATATACACAGATCTTTATTCAACTGAGTAGTTGTAACCTGGAGATTAAGATGTCCTATACCTAATATATTATCCCTTAAAACATCTCTATGGAAAATAGCAGGGAAGCTACTGATGAAATTAGGACTACTGACTATGATTTATGATAGGGGATAGGTACCCTCATCACTACATGTGGAAGCAACAGAAAAAATTTAAAAGATCATCCTAAGATCTTCACCACCCCCATGGGACAGAACAGCACTATTTACAAGCACCAGAAACACAGAAGACCTTATTGACTTAATAAGAACATCTGAGGAACTAAGCCAACATAAAAACTATAGCTTTAAAAAAAAAAAACTATAGCTTTAACACTAATGTATATAGACAAAACAGGCTTACACCTAATCCAAATAAACCCAATAAAAATATATTATCTAGATCTAAATCTATAAGGCCCCTTTGGTCACATAAACCATTTAGACCACCACCCTTTAATCCAAATTATCAAAATAGAAACCTAATTAGAAACCCCAGAAACTACTTATAGTGGTAAAGAAATAGAAATAACCAATCTGAGAGGAAACACACTTACAGAAAATAAACCCACATATAGACACACCAACTCATTTACTGTAAATATTGACCCCTTCATAAATCCAACCCCATTAATAAAAAAGGCAATGATAGGCGAAGTAGAGGAAAGCCCCATAAGCCATATAGGGACTCAGCATTATCCATCTTGGCACAAACCAGAGACAATTGCCCATAAGTTAGAATGGCCATATCAATTAAAAAAAAACTTTTATAAATAAAAATACTACATATACTACTATGTTGTCAGATACAATGTCCCAAATAACAATGATACAAGAATATACTACTAGTTCAATTTAGAAGAAGCCCAAAAAGTAGTAGGATTGTTTGAATATGGCAAACAGCACATACCATATATAGGGATAATATTAAAATAACTGCAAAGAGCCAGATATTTAAAAGGACAGAGGCTCAAGAGATAACCTTTATTTATTTGAAAAATGCTTCAGAACTTGAGTTTCTATACTCAAAAGGGTTTCAAACATGGTCACTGTGAACTAAAACACCACAGGACACCAAATTTTACCCATTGATTTTTGGACTAAGAAATTTCATGTTCTGAGAATAGACATCAACCAGCTGAAAGGCTCGTCTGGGCACTCTAAGATGCCCTACAAAATACAGAGCCATTAACAGAAAATAAGTCAATTATTTTGGATGTGTAAAATATACTGTTGACAAACAGAGGGGAACTAGTCCTGACTATAAAGCCCTAACATGAAAATAGTACATTTCCAAGTGGGATATAGGAATGGACAGTCAGCCCTCTGCATTAACTGAGAAAATTTCAGCAATGCCAAGAGTGGATTTGTCAGAATTTACAATGGATGAGCCTATCTGAGCTCAAGTTGGGCGATGGGAATCATCCTAGTCCACAGCACTCAAAAATCCATTGTTTACACATGGATCAGCCTCCATGACATCAGCCAGAATATGCAACCTGGTTGCAGCCTTGAGGACTAATGATGGTCTGACCCTGACAGCATCAGTCTCAGGAGAATCAGCACAATATGCTGAACCTAAAGCCATAAAATTGGTGATTGGGCAATCTGTTAAGGAAAATCAGAGTGAGGTGTATCTTTTCTCAGACTCATGGACGGTAGTTAATGGAATAGCTCTTTGGTCAGGAACATTGTGGAAAAATTACTGGAAAATAGGGAATAAGGACATACAGTGAAAGGACATGTGGCAGAAAATAGCACTGGCTGACATCTCCATAATCTGTTTCTGTACATCAGAAGGATAACTCTGAAGTAACTAAACTTAGTAACCAAGCAGAAAACTCACTAAGAAAACTAATGAAGCAAGCACATCTAAAATTTATCTTAAAAACAGTAATTCATGGAAAAGGAAGAAACCAATTCCAAATATAACCTTGTATAAACAAGGACAATAAAATATAAAACCTGAATAAACAAATATGCCAATTGATAGGATCATTGCACAGGCACATCACCAAACAGGTCATGCTGGCATACACAGCACTAAAGCATGGTTAAAGAAACACGTATACACCTATACCAAATGCCTCCAATTTCAAATTAAGAGATGTGAGAGTTGCTAAAAGCTTAAAGCTTGGAGGTTATTAATGAATACTTCAGATAAGGTCAAAGCTGACAGAAGGGTCCAAATTACACAAACTGTTTATATAAGATCCCTGCCTATATCAGAGAATAAACTATATGCATGCATCATTGTAGATACATGGTCAGAAATAAGATTATGCTAACTTTGCAGGAAAAAGTACATATATATGTTAACAATCAGAGCATTAGATATCTGGATTCTTTGCTATGGTATCCCAACCATGATTAAATGAGATAGGGGAACCCACTTTACAAGAAAACTAATACAAGAATGGGTCAAAGAACAGGGCATAATGCGGAAATTCTACTTACCCTATAACCTAATGCCTCTGGATCAACTGAAACGTATAATAGCTTGCTTAAGCAAAAGCTTAGGTTGCTTACTAACAATCTAGATATGAAAACTATAACTAAAGCAATCTGGGAGACAAAGAGATCTCCAAACCATGGATACTCCAAAGATGTGAAAACTCATGTTGAATTAATACTGCAGGTCCTTACAGAAATAAGAATTAGCACTGACAACACCTCAGACTCTAAATTAAAAGTATTACTTAAAAACATAATGGTATATACATGGTACATAATGGTTGCTATATATGTATAGCAGTGGCTATAGTTGCTAACTCCCACTAATATAACCTATCAGGTTACCAAAGGAAAAGGCATATTACATCAAATTAAGGAAAGTAATATAATGCCGCTATGAAAAGTTCAGGCATGGGGCACCTGGGTGTCTCAGTTGGTTGAGCCTCTGACTTCAGCTCAGGTCATGATTTCACAGTTCGTGAGTTTGGGCCTCGCATTGGGGTCTGTGCTGAGAGCTGAGAGCCTGGAGCCTGCTTTGAGTTCTGTGTCTCCCTCTCTCTCTGCCCCTCCCCTGCTCACTCTCTGTCTCTCTCAAAAATAAATAAACTTTAAAAAATAAAAATTAAAAAAATTGGAAAACAAATTCAGGCATGAAGAACACCATCTTTTATTATATCAACACTAGATGCCTAATATTTAGCCTAGCATGATGCAGGATGATTATCCTTGGGGCAATATTGGCAGTAATGGCCATAACAACTATAGATTTCCTTGAGTGGCAAGAATTAGAAATGTATAGGAGACTATCTTTATTTTGCAGACATGGATCCACTATGCATCCTGAACTCTACAAATATTGCTAAATGGGTCATTGTGGCAAGGTGTCTACTGCCCATACTATTTTGTTTATTACTCAGTATTGGGTACATATTCATTGCTGCTATGGATCAAACAGTTCCAACAACAGTTGTGCTGCCATTCCAAATTGGAACACCACCTTGTGGTCCAGATAAAACTTTACTGTCTGTGACATCCTCTATTTCCTTTATGGATCACCATCTTGGTCACCTTAATGCAACTGAGTTCTCACCAGCATCACCAGCATCACTAATCCCAACCTCTTCACCCCACCACTTGCCATAATCACCACTTACTAGCTTGGAAACCTTTAATCAATGGAGAAACTGAATATTTAGGGAAGCTGATGAAGTAGCAGAAATATCTACTTCAATCTCCTCACGAGAATCAATGTGGATCTTGATGCCCCCTATTGGACTCCAACTCAGAGGACAAACAATGGCTTGACCTACTAATTGACTCTTGGTATTTTAACTCAGTGTATATACCAAGTCAACCAAGTTCTGTATCTTATTCCTTACCTCTGCCTTGGCTTACTGAATTAAGTGCAGCATTAGACACATGGCAGAAAATATGTGAGGACAACCTAGATCTGATTCCTGATCTAGTAAGTGTTTTAGCACACTATTGCAGTAAGGCAGCTGCAGAACATACAGAAAGGGGACTTGGACAGCCAAGACATTATGCAAACCTCATGGTCACTCATATACTAGGGCAATTTGCTGTTCTTGTTTTTTTAGAATCTGAAGACTAGTTATTCATCCATTTGGTATCCCCAGATGCTGTGTGTTGCTTAAATTGCTAATTATCCTATGTTTAATAGGAAAAAGCCTACATGCCCCCATACATACTTTATCTGTAACTGAAACATCTCAAGTTAACCCTGTCAGCAATACCACTTGTGCCTACCCAGCAGATCAAGATATTATGCAATATAAAGGCAAATGTCTGGCTTTAGCAAAAGACCAAGTATGACTGCAAGAAATTGCAAAATTGCCTGCATACACACATACTAATAAGGATATATTAGGAAAGATACTTAAAAGATAAATGTAAAACCATCAATTTATTTTTTTAATATGAAATTTATTGTCGAATTGGTTTCCATACAACACCCAGTGCTCATCCCAACAGGTGCCCTCCTCAATGTCCATGACCCACTTTCCCCTCCCTCCCACCCCCCCATCAACCCTCAGTTTAGTCTCAGTTTTTAAGAGTCTCTTATGGTTTGGCTCCCTCCCTCTTTTTTTTCCTTCCCATCCCCCATAGTCTTCTGTTAAGTTTCTCAGGATCCACACAAGAGTGAAAACATGGTACCTGTCTTTCTCTGTATGATTTATTTCACTTACCATAACACTCTCCAGTTCCATCCACATTGCTACAAAAGGCCATATTTCATTCTTTCTCATTGCCACGTAGTATTCCATTGTGTATATAAACCACAATTTCTTTATCCATTCATCAGTTGATGGACATTTAGGCTCTTTCCATAATTTAGCTATTGTTGAGAGTGCTGCTATGAACATTGGGGTACAAGTGCCCCTATGCATCAGTACTCCTGTATCCCTTGGGTAAATTCCCAGCAGTGTTACTGCTGGGTCATAGGGTAGGTCTATTTTTAATTTTTTTGAGGAACCTCCACACTGCTTTCCAGAGCGGCTGCACCAGTTTGCATTCCCACCAACAGTGCAAGAGGGCTCCCATTTCTCCACATCCTCTCCAGAATCTATAGTCTCCTGTTTTGTTCATTTAGCCACTCTGACTGGCGTGAGGTGATATCTGAGTGTGGTTTTGATTTGTATTTCCCTGATGAGGAGCAACGTTGAGCATCTTTTCATGTGCCTGTTGGCCATCTGGATGTCTTCTTTAGAGAAGTGCCTATTCATGTAAAACCATCAATTTAATATCCCATGCTCTGAAAGAATTAAACATGCAATAAGAAGAAATTT